AAATACCAGAAGCGGTGTCATTCATCTACTTTTGGGCAAGCCTAAGAGTACAAAATAGAGGTCAATAGGATATTGTCCAAGACCAGAGACTCCACTATAGATGTATCTGCAAATGTGATAAACAAATATATGACATCTAGTGGGTAGATGCCAGTTACCTTCGTCCATCGTGAGTAACAGCTGACCCTACTTTGCCTTTTGTAGTTCTCGTTGAATGTCAATGAATTGCAATATATCATTACAATAAATTGAAAAGTGACAGTGCAACTTTAACTTGTTATTGCTATGCTGTTTTATGCTGCCCATTGTATAGTGCTGCAGAATATGTTGACCCTGCATAATTAATACAGATGCCATTTTGCACAGACTGCCATCTAACAGCGGGTCAGGATGTGCCCTGTAAAGACTGATGGCTGGAAACCTGGGAAACTGACATATTTCTGTGTAAGGCACAGAGGAACCTGTCCAAAGGATATGTACAAATAGTACAAAATATTTTATTGTCATACTAAACACATTCATTTTCAAAATGTTTTTCTTTAACAGGGATCGAAAGTTTAAAGCTTCGTAGATTTTTTTTAATGCTTTTCATATGTTTAATATATGATTCATGGGTGATGGTAAGTGAAAGGAGAACTGGATCTTTCCAATGCATTGATTAAGGTTGTTTCGTTTCTGTATTTTTGCTTTACAGATAATCTTTCCATTGTGTTAATTTGTTGTTCAAAATCTCTTTGATCGCTGAGGACAATTTTCATCATAAAATTAGGGCAGTTAGTTGTGCACACCCATGGATACATTAATCCATTATAAGCTTCTTACTGTCCTATTACACTAGAGCAGGGGTATGCAATCTTATAGCGGCACTGTGCCAAAACAGGACTTTGAAGTCCCTTGGCGTGCCAGTCCTATTTTAAAAAAAATATAATTAACTTGGGTGTATGCTATATGCTGCTTGTGATTTGTGTGGGTTCTGCTCCTTTATAAGGTTATATTTATGTGTGTGTGGGCTGTGATACTGTCAGAGTTTATTAGACAAAGCCCAAAATGTGGTATTAGCGGTAGAGGCAAGGTCAAGATAGCAAAGGGTCAGGTCAGGCAGTACAGGTTCGTAAACAGAGGTCAGGTCAAAGGTCAGATGCCAAGTAGACTGTATAGGAGATTAGGAGCAACAGGGGTACTACTTGTTAGGACAAGAAGCACAGTATTACTTTTATATACCATTTATATAGAAGTAAGGGTGCATACACATCCCCTGCATCACACCCACATCACAAGCGCACCCCCTGTAACAGCCAGTCCCCCTTTAAGACGTGCTTCATCAGGTGCACATACCTAAGGTGTGATGTGGCGTGAGGACATTACTGTAACAAGCAACACAAGATGCCAACCGGGCCAGGTTGTGAGATGCAGAACCCTGCATGTATGTCTCTGCATGTAGTGGCTTGATCAAGGTGCTAGAACATGGTGCGTGCGCATACATGTGCAATGGT